TCGAATCTCGACGGGAGAGTCGACTATATATATATATATATATATATATATATATATATATATATATATATATATATATATATATATAGTAGTTTATTTTATTAGTACTGTTTTTGTGACTTTTTATGCATCCATATAGATATATGTGTGCTTTTGTGTGTGTATGTGTTCGAGTGTGGGTGTGTATGTGTGTGTGTATGTTTGTGCGTTCAGCTGTCTTTATGTCTCTTTCCTACTTGGCTTTCCTTATTTATGTTGTGTCTGTATTGTATATTTTAAAAGTATTATACGAAAATACGAAATGCGACGATGTTTTTTTTTTGTCGACTTCATTGTGTTCTTTCTCCTTTCATCTCCCGTTACAAAAAAAAATTTTAAATTACAAAAAAAAAAAAAAAAATACAAAGTTCGAAGAACTGCAAACAAACGCAGATACACAATAAAAAGGAATGTACACGTTCACAAAAGCCGTTTACATCGCAATTCACACGCAGTCCCAAACACAAAGACCATCGGAATTTGTCACCCACCTCTCTCTCTCTCCTCATCCTCCTCCTTCGTCTCCTCCTCCTTCGTCTCCTCCTCCTTCTTCTCCTCCTTCTTCTCCTCCTTCTTCTCCTCCTTCTTCTCCTCTTCCTTCACCTCCTCCTGCTTCTTCTCCTCCTTCTTCTCCTCCTTTTCCTCGCTCGCTTTCTCAAACGCGACAAAAGTAAAGCCGCCTTCACTTACCTTTGCGTTAAAACTACTTAACCTAGGCAAGCGAACATATAGTAAAAAGGCATAAAATATAATATACAACATTCAAAGACAATTGTCTGTAATGCTTTACTTATTCTTTCAACTAATAAAGGCGCATAAACACAGTGTTCCGTACACAATAAAACACTTTAAAATCGATTCTGAACAAACAGCATTTTACCTTGACCCGTTTGCTAACAGCATCGAGTCATCGTAGAAAAAAAAAACACTTCTTCCTGCTACTCAATCAATCTAGACATACGAACAAATGTTCGTCAGTCTAACTATTCCACAGGAATTTATTTATTATTTATAACGATGAAGACGAAGTAGACGAATACATCCCAATAAATAGATGTTCTCACGATCTTGGCCAGAGTGACACTCGTGAGTAAAATCCATTAAAACTACATATAAATGTTAATTTAATTTTCATAAAATTTACAAGATTAGAAAGTAGTAACAGAGAATATTCTGATATAAACATTATTTTCGTCCAATAGAAACAAAGAATTGCAAATTATTTGCTGTTGTTCAAAACGTTACGATGAAAAATCAATTGAAATAGAATTTGAACACTCGATACACTAGCATTTCAAAAATCTACGATAAGTTTAAATAATTATTAAAATTTGTAGACTATCTTTGTTCGTGTAGTATCTATGGCTGAGTTTATTAAAATTTTTCTAAGTTGCAATACGTTCCTTCTGTTACGTCATATGAGTCTATATTCTACATAGCAGTGAATGCTGGACAATCTGCTCACAGATGAAGGAGAGTCTTGAAGCAACAGAAATGTGGTTCTGTAGAAGGATGCTGAGAATACCACAGGCTGAGCAACGACGAAGTTTTAGAGAAAATGGAAACAGGGAAGATAAAGAGACAGCTGAAATTTCTAAGGCACATAATGAAGAAAGAGATCTTGGAAAATCTCACGTGACTGAGAGCAAGAGGAGAAGCGTAAGACAATTACTCCTTACTACCTAGCAAGCTTGAGTAAACGGGTGGCAGAAAGGGGCTTAGGATAGATAACAATTACAAAATTTATTAAGAGCTACATAAGATAGGAAATTATGGAGAGCCATGAGCGCCAAAGGCCTGAAGGAACACAGTACACAGAAGAAGGAAAATATAACTCCTTATGAAAAATCCTTATTAAAAATCAATTCCTTTCCTATTTTTGTCTTCCATACGCTGACTCCCAACCATCAACAAGTCTATAAAGGAAAATGTCAACAGTTGTGGAACAAATGTCAAGGCAACAAATTTCACAAGATCAAATCAAGCCTCGAGAAATGGAGAGATGAGGCGGTCCAAGCCAAACACATATGCCACCCGCCAACACTTATTCAAAAATTAGTTAATATTCGTTGAGTAAAGGCTAGAAAGCTAATTTGAAAAAAAGAACGAGTAAAAAGAATTCGACTCTTATTTAGCGATCCATTTTTCTGCCCCTGTTCCAGACAATGCCTAAGAAACATTTACACATTTTTATTTACATAATATTATAGAAAATCATGGTTTATGTCTGTAAATCTATTGTTATGCATTCTTGGGAAAGATAGGGGAGTGATATCCTGTCTTTTCCACCATTTGCAATTGAATGTCTATTCTTTTAACTGTTTACTACCCAAGGCCAGGTGGCCATGTTTACTCAGCATAATAACCTATTCTTAGAGAGGGTGGCAAAACAAAAGACGAATCCATGCATTTTCTAAAAGGATTAGTGTGAAAGTTAATGAACCTGACTAGCACGGAATTTGAACCCTGCACCTTGGTTCTCTTTTTGGCGCCTAACTCACATTCGTCTTTCGTATCTAAATCATACTAAATTGCAACTTCTGGATTCATATGTTTGTTTGATTTGGAATTCTTGTTTAGAATAATTTTTTTATGAGAGAGATTTCTCCGTTTATGTTACTGTTATAGACCTTACAAAATACAAGTCTTAAATACGTAGCTTAGATATGGCTCAGGGCCGAAAGTAGGGAGCACCCAGTGAATACAAGCCATATAAATAATATTTATTTTGTGATGATAGTGTTAATGGTTATCCTCACTGAAATTGGAATCGGCGTACCGGGATCAAATTCTGACCAAGTCTATTTCTTCTACTATTTACATTATTCTGACTATTGTCCTCATCTTTGTCGCCATATTTATTACAACGTTTCGATGGTTGGAATGTCGAACTGAACCATTTATTTCGCTCACTGGGGTAGACTGTTCTAGTTCCACGTGCCATGTCTAATGGCACGTGGAACTAGAATATGTCCTGACATTAGACATGGATGTCAGTTATCAGTTATCTCCTGTTAATTCCCCTCTCCAATCAAGTTCTCCACCACTTTAACCAGGTATTGAACTCACGCTCTTTGGGTCCTGTCACTGGATCTAACTAAAGCGTTTATCCACTGTGCCATGTGTCCTTGAGGACATATGTGTATGAATTTCTGGGTATTATAAACCTAATGTCATCAGCTCATTTTTTTACCAGTGCTCATATTGCAATTCACTTAGCAGTTGGTAAAGGTTGTGAATCCATTTTTCTCCAGCTATGTGCTAAACAGCAAGCCACCGTGATTGTTAGGGTACTACTTTAATTAACTGATCCACGCGTAAAAAATAGGGAAAAGTTGTTTTTTTTTTTTTTTTTTTTCTGAACTATTTTATAGATTAGGATTCATTAGATCTCCCCAAAGTCACGACATTTTTTTCAAAATTGAAAAATATTGATTGTTATCATTTTAGAAGGAAGGTCCTGTGACAAATCGATTCTTGATTTCATAAAGAGTTATCTGTACTTTGTTATTATTTACCGTTGTATTGTCGAGGTGAATGATACGCAGAGAAGAATGAGTGATTAATATATATTTACAGTGGGTAGCAAAAGTATTTAACACATTGGTTTTTCTTACATATCTCAAAAAATAACAGATCAGTTTCAACGAAACGTATAGGAAATATTCAAACGAACATTGAGAGAGCATTATCTTGCATAAAAATGAGTTTGGTGGAGTCGATTTGCACCCTTTCAGCAGAAGGGAGCAGACAAGACTCTAAAATTCTCTTTTACTGCTCCCTCCTGAGGGTCTTTCAATAGGTTTTAAGAAACCAGTTCCATGGAAAGAAAAGCATCCCCAGAACATTATACTGAACGAATGCTTGACAGTACTTACTGCTAAATTCAAAGAGCTTTCAAAGCTTCTTCTTCGGATTTTAGATCGCTTATCCTTTGAATTTCGTTTCATCGAAGAAGAGAACATTTAGTAAAAAAAATCAGGTGAGTCACTTTTATCGAACAGCACTCTACTTCAGAAAAAAAGAGTGATTAAAAGAAAGAAAGAAGATTTTAATGATTGCTTTAATAAATGAAAAACCTTGACAATTTTTTAAACTTTTAGCTTGTACCCCCTTACTTCTTAAAAATAATAACCTGCTTATGTTTGTTATTACATTTTGTTTAATTTTTTAAACTCTAGCATATAATGATGCAATTGAAATATTTTTATAGATATTTTATAGTCGTTTAACTCACAAGGACCTTATTAAGTCATTAACTTTATAATTATAATTCATCAGAAAAGCGTGAGATTATTCGGATACTTCTAGTTCCTTACAAAATGTCGACCAATACGAGTCTTGATATTAAATGAAATCGTACACTGAAGAATGCTTGAAGCAAACGAGTTATTGATATTCCTGCTTCCATTAGCGAAACTGTAACCAATCAAGACATTTTTGATTTTTTCGTTTCGACGTCTTGTGATACAAGACAATTTATAAATGAGCCTAAGCAAGCGACCTTCGTTCATTTATATTTCTAAAGATCACATTCAGCAGACAGACGCATAAACAGTGTCCATTTCTTAAATGCAGACAACAGAACGCTGTCCAATTTGTTTAGGACTCGTTATATCGAATTGATGACCCTGATTCTCCAACAATTTGCAGTGTCTTCATAATCAATATATTTCTAATGAACTGTGAACTGATCTTTTCTTCGGCATCAAAATCAATACTTCACAATTGCACAATTTTGTATGTGCCTGTACGTAATGACTTGCAATAGATTACATATTTATACCAAGAGACATTAGCTGAATGAAAAAATTTTCACCATTTTGTTTTTATAATTTCGAATTTTCAGCAAATTGCACGTAAAATTACACCAATAAACATAACGTTTTAATGCGATGACAGCAAAAACAAGCCAACGAACACCGTCAACAAATATGGAATTGATATTAATGGAGAATAATTTACCAACGGCTACAGAATATGAGAAATCTGTCAAAACATCATATTGGCTAAATATTATGAGATCATATGGGATTAAATATGATTTATTATTATTGTCCCAATGACTGTTTACATTAGCAGTGTTTCGTAGCTTGCAGCAGGTATCGAGTGAGAGCAAGTGAAAGCAAATCTCCTTAATATACACGCACTACTCTCATTATCCTAGCACTTTCCAAATATGCTACTGTTTGGACTATTCTCTTTATTTTTAGTTCTATTTTCAGAATTATTCCAGACAGCTCCACGTGCTCTATAAACGACTGGCACTGCAGAATCTTAATCTTTCACAACTTTCACAGTTCTCTGGTAAAGTCAAGATAATCATCTTTTCATTTACATTCCAAAAAGGGGAAACGACTAGTATCTCAAGTTAAGAACATAAATTAGTATCGCCTTTTTTATGGTTTATCAACCCCTTACCTGTTATTTGAAACCGCGAAATTAATTTGGATTGTAAGAATAATTATTTTTGTTTTGTGCGTGAATATTGCATTAACAGTTGTTTTGAGATAACAATCATTCTCAAAGATACTGTTTAACCCATAGCCGAGGGAAGAAGTGACTTCATACTTTTCCTAATGGAATGTATGCGTAAGTGAATGTAATGAACTTGACTAGAATTCGAACTTATGGCTGTATCCAGCCAATTCAACTGTAAATTTAAGAGCCCTAATTGCCAATCTAGTACTGCACTTAAATTCAAAAAGTTTAGATAAGATAGCGGAAATTTCATCAGAACAATTACCATTTAACCCATAGCCGAGGGAAAAAGTAACGAGTTGATACTTTTCCCAATGGAATTTATGCGTAAGTGAATGCAATGAACTTGACTAGAATTCGAACTAAGTTCTCCGATTTCTCATTCTGTGTCACTCTACATTACACCACCCTCACATCTTCAGATGAGTATTTCAATATTATTGTGCTTATTATTAGCACACAAGTTTTTACACCAGTAAGTAATGGTGGTTTATCTGTAGTCCAAGTGATATCATATATTCTCACTATTTATTATTATTAGTAGTAGTAGTAATATTATCGATAGAAACCTACACGCTGAGATAGATAGATAGATAGATAGATAGATAGATAGATAGATAGATAGATAGATAGATATTTTATTTTTTCTGATGTTCAATCTTTATAAGGCCCAGGAGCCACTCGCGAAAAAGGGTTGGTGAAGGAATTTTTGTTGTGTGACGAGTAAGTGTAAAGAGGTAAGAGGGCTCAGTAAGAAAGATAATGGTTGACGCTAGACTTGAACAGGTTAAGATTGATGAAGTTCTGATATAGATAAATAGATCGATTGCTGCATATGTGTAGATGAGAAAGAAAGATAAAGCTCCATTTTTAAATGTTCAGTTTAAAGCTTCCAAATAAAAGGGATATATTTCTTCTATTTTTTCTTTTTTTAAAATAATGCCGATGTAATCTGCAAATGCATTATTGTTTGCTATATTTCTGTTTTTCATGCACCGGATATTACTGATTTCATAGGCTATGGATTTCTATATTTTTCCATCTATTAAATTGATTTTCTAAAAATAAAAGAAAATGATTGCATTTGTTCAGGCACTTAGTCTGTGATCCGCTTTAAAAATGTCAAAAATCGACGTTTCTCTTGTTTTCCTCTACTTAGGAATTCTTTTTTCTGAAACGGTGATTTACCGAACTGTCGTTTAAAATCTGAGAATTTCTTATGTTTTTCATTACATTAAATCTGATGCTAAAAGATATGTTTGTGTATTTTTTTTATCATTTCACCCCACAAAGACAATAAAGCCACTGAGGCGCAAAGAATTACTAAGTATGAAAGAATAAGAAAAGGAGAAACATTAATAAAGAAAGAGAAAAATAAAAGAAGAGGAATCAAAAAGACAGTAGATAACGATTGACATTGTATTTAAATTTCTAAAGATCAGATTTGGTTATAAAGCATGAAGCAAGAACAGAGTTCCTCAATCGAGAAGTGCGTGAGAGGAAACTGTTAACATAGAACTTATGGCTGTATCCAGTCAATTCAACTGTAAATTTAAGAGACCTAATTGCCAATCTAGTACTGCACTTGAATTCATAAAGTTTAGATAACAAAGCGGAAATTTCATCAGAACAATTACCATTTAACCCCTAGCCGAGGGAACAAGTAACGAGTTCATACTTTTCCCGGTGGTGAGCGAGAGGAAACTGTTGACATAGAACTTATGGCTGTATCCAGCCAATTCAACTGTAAATTTAAGAGACCTAATTGCCAATCTAGTGCTGCACTTAAATTCATAAGATTTAGGTAACATAGCGGAAAGTTCATCAGAACAATTGCCATGAGAAATTATTTATATAAATGACACAGGGAAGCTACGTTACGGAGGTGGGAGAGTGACTGAAGCCGACAGATTCTGGCAAGAGAAATTTCTAGCACGATACAGTAAACCAACTTTCCAAGCAGCAGACCTAGAGATTTATTCACTATAATCTTTCCACTACATTTCAGCAGAGAATATTGGCCCGAGAAGGCGCAATGAATCATCTCTTTGGGAGGTTAGCATCAGCCATATTATTAATAAAGGAGCAGTTTCGTTTTGAAGGCGTTAGGAGAAACACCTTAAAGAACAAAATTGCAATGATGTTAGATTACACACAGATACACATGCAGGGTTGTGTAACTGAGAGTGAAAGGAGATAAGATGACAATAAAAGCACAAATTTCGGGAAGCTAGAAGATAGCGATTGACGTTGCATTTAAATTTTTGAAGATCGTATGTGACATGGGAAACATGAAATCAGAAGAGTGTTCCACAGGCGAGCAATGCGAGAAAAGAAACTATTCGAATAGAACTTACGGTTAAATCTGGCTATTTTATCAGTAAAACAACGAGTCCTATTTGCCAATCTAGTAGTAAGCTTAAATTCATGTAGTTGTGGTGCCAAGGAGGAGAGCTCATTAGAATAATTACTATTGAAAAATATTTATAGAAAAGAAAGAAGGAAGTCAAATCCCTGCAGTCGGAAAGTGACTGAAGCCGTGATGCCACGACAAGATCGATTACATTACAGACTTTTGGGGGATTTTATCGAGATATATAAGATATATAGAGCCAGAAGACCAAACCCGATATGCTAACAATATTTAATGTACACATGAATGATAGTTTCATGAGTGTTTAACATGGATCCTGGTGTGAAGAAGTGTCCGTTACGTCATATTGAACCAAACTCCCTAACAGACCTATCTAGCTACGCCACATTAGTTTTTTTTATTAGTTTGTTAATTTTTTAAATTAAGTTGTTATTTTGCTGTTAATTTATAGAAGATTCCGGTTTTATAAGACTTCTCTAAAACAATCCGTATCATTAACACTTTTTATTATTTGGTCGAAATCCTTTTGGAAGTAACTTTTCTTTTTGTGGAAAGAGATATTGTTTATTATATCGAGTAAATCCATTTCGAATTCAAACAATTCAAATTAATTTATAAAGAAATAACGCACACCTATTTATATCTACTTCTGATCAAAAATAATAAAAATATTAAATATGAAAGTAGTTACATCCTAAAATATAAATAATTGACAATAACATATATAGGCGATTAGCAAATTCGATTAATCTTAGAGATCTATAAAATTATAAAATTGAAAATGTAACTCAATCATATTTCAATACCTCTTTAACAAACTATCAATTTAGTCGTATAGAAAAGACAATAAACAAAAAATAAACACCAAAAAAGGTTGTAACGTAGACCTCAATGAGAAGAAGTAAAACCAGACAGTAAAATCATGAAAGCCTGATAAAAAAAAGCCAGTGTAGCCAAACAGAAATCCCCACCCAACCTTAAAAGACTCCAAAAACTTGACACACAATAAACATTCCTACACTTTTCATTAGTAAATGACGAAACCACTGATAAAAAATAGGAACTCTCAAAACGCCAACATTTCCAACTTATAGATAAAGTAAACTGATTTCTCCGTAAATTATTCTTAATATCGCTTGATAATGAAACCGTGCTCTAAATTTTAAGTTTAATTTTGAAATTGAACTTCAGGGCTTGAGTTTTGGTTTCGAAACATAATAATTTCTGTGTCGAGATGGAGACATATTTTTAAAAAATAATTATAATATTATGTTCTACTTTGTATCGAGCACTCGATTATAAATCTGACTGTTCTTTCTTATTATTGAATAGATAGATAGACATTAAGCTGAATTGGAAGTAGGCATTTGTAAGGCGAAGAAATACAAAAATATGTCAGATTTATTAAGGAAAACATCTTGTCTGTTCAGTAGATATGCCTCATTGTAAATGCTGATAGATAGATAGATAGATATGATCAAACTGAGATAGATAGATAGATAGATAGATAGATAGATAGATAGATAGATATGATCAAACTGGGATAAATACATATGAACTGACTACAAAAGATATATAGATAAATAAAAGTAGATTGAGATAGATAGATAGATAGAGAGATAGATAGATATGATCAAACTGAGATAGATAGATAGATAGATAGATAGATAGATAGATAGATAGATAGATAGATAGATAGATAGGAAATGTCAGCCATTTTGTAAGTACTTGTGGAATGTTTTCAAAGAAAAATTCAAGCGTCGGCATGATAAAATTAAAATTATCGTTATCTGTCTATGTTTCTGAGATGAGGTATTATGTACACTATTTACATTATTCGGACTATTGACCTTATTTCTGTTGCCATATTTATCACAAAGTTTCGGCTGTTGTACGCTCCGGCCTTCTTCAGGTGGCTGGAATGTCGAACTGAACCCTTTATTTCGATCACTGGTGTAGACTGTTCTAGTTCCACGTGCCAATGTCTAATGGACGTCAGTTCTCAGTTATCTCCTGTTAATTCCATGTCTAATGGATCATTGTTATTATTATTTTTATTATTGTTATTTTATTGGGTTTCTGTTGTATACATATTTCCTTCCGGGTCCCAACCAGAGACCTAAGGTCAGAAATGGGTTCATGACATTTTCAATGACCATTTTTGTAAAAAGAAAATAAACTAAAATCACACAAATTTTACATAAAAAAGCTCTTCGTAATATGTGAGCTGTACTTATTAGGATAATTTTTGTATTTCTTTAAGTAAAGGGCTCCCAGGGATCCTATCACTGAGTCTATTGGAACTTCTTTCAATCATTCTGAGGACTCCAACTACAGGTGGAATTATTGATGTCCTCATGTGCCATCTTTTTTTTTTAATTTCCACTTCAAGACGCTTGTATTTTGATAATTGTTGCTATTATTATTACTATTTTCTTTTCTTCGATTTCTGGTGTATACTCATTTCTTTCATTTTGATAATTTCTAGTTAACAATCATTGGTCCTGTGCAGCAAGAATAAAACCTTCAGTTTCAGCTTTTAACCCTGCACTACGTAGCCACTAATGTGTACGTGGTTTGTTGACATCAGCTTGTTTGATTATTATTATTATTATTATCATTATTATTATTATCATTATTATTATCATCATCATCATTAACCTCATTATATTTCCATTTCTACTATGATCACACTACCAACCAAGTCTGCAGGATGACCTAGGCAAGTAGCGGTGTGTTTTTTATGTCTACATTTCATGATTTGTTTTTCTAACTCCCACATAACATCACTAGCGTTACATGGACTTATCAAGACAATTTTTTTGTATTTCTCTTAAACTGAGATTACCAGGGATTTAGTGTGTTGTTGTGTTCCTTTTTTATCACTCCAAGCCCACCGACTATGACTGGTTCTATTCTTGTTTTCAATTTCCACATTTTTTTTTCTATTTCGATTTCTAGGTTTTTATACTTCTATAGCTTTTCAAATTCCTTGATCGCGATGTTACAATCCGCTGGGCAAGACATCAATTAAGTGGCAAGTTCTTTCTTTTCGGTTTTGTGACAATTATGCCCGGCCTATTTACTTCAATCTTCCTGTCTGTAAAGATGGTGTAATCTCATAGAATTATGACGTCTTCTGTTTCTGTAACTGGTGCTGGGTGATATTCATACCGGTGTTTGTTAACATTGTTCTAAAGTGTCCAATGTAAATATTGCCCCAAACTATTGTAATGTTTTTTTTTTTATATTCATTTGGGGCAAGTACAAAACATCCTGAGATTAGATGATAATCGCTACACAATCTGTATTTTGGATCAACACTATTATTTATGATATCTGACTGAAAATTCCGAGTGAAAAGAATCTAGTCTTGCTCTATAAGAATAAAGTCTTCCATTTCAGTCTTTAATCCAGATGTTCGTAACCATCGTTGAGTGTTAAGATTATCAACATCGGCTTTATTAGCCTCGTTCTGGATATTGGCCATGCAGAGGTTTGCTTGCCAGTGGGTTTTCATCTGTTCAAGAGCTGTATCTTTGGCTTTGTTTTTTTTTTTATTTTTTGCTGCAAAAGTTGGTTCTTAGCTTCTGCTAATTTTTACAAAACAAACATTGCGAGTGAATTCAGATTGATTAATTAACTTACTTTAGCATATAATCAAATACATATAAGTATAAGGGAAGTTATTTATATAACGCAAACACGTTTTTGTGTCTGCCTTAGTTTAAGAGATTTTGTCTATATTTTGCCAGGATAATAAATAAACACGCACATATATATATATATATATATATATATATATATATATATATATATATATATATACACACACATATATATATATATATATACACACACACACATATATATATATATATGTGTGTGTATAAAAGTGTAAATGGATATAAATCCGCCAGAATGTAGAAATTTTGAAAAACAAACAAAAATCCATAAATGTAGTTAAAATGAAAAAATTGTCGACGTCAGACGTTTCGGTTTTAATAAACCATTTTCAAGACAAAATTCATTAAAATACAAATTCAGTTCAATATGACGAAAACGATGGACATTTAAAACATTTTGTCTTATCCAGGTTTATTAAAACAGATACGTCTGACGTCGATAATAATTTAATTTTAATAATTTATGGATTTTTGTTTGTTTTTCAAAATTTCTACATATGTGTGTGTGTGTGTGTGTGTGTGTGTGTGTGTGTGTGTGTGTGTATACTAACGGAAGAAGAGTTTGAGATTAACAGGAAATAAACAATGTAATCCAAAAAAGATTCGTTTAAAGTTATCTAGTAAAAAAAAAATCAGAATTATGTGGCCAAAATATCTTGCATAAAGTCTCGCCCAGACATCGGCTTTACCAAGAGTAACTCGAGTTATTGAAGAGAATAAAAGTCTATATTACTTTATAAAAGCAACATCATAAAATATTCATACAAAAGAAAGAATAGGAAAGTTCTTTAATCCACAGACGGACGAGAAAAAAAAATAAGCAACATATTTTGAAATAAAAAAAAAAGAAAATGTCGCTCCGTGAAACTTCCGTGCTCTGAAAAGCCGGAAACTTCCCAAGTAGACACTGACGACGGCGAAATCAATAAGAGAAAGCAGAAATGACTAACGTTTCCTCTTTAAAGTCCGGATATTTAATAGAGAAATAAGATTTTTAGTGTCGTTAATAATAGTAGTGATACTAGTCTTTGGTTTTTGTCTTTTTTTCTTTTGTTATGTTTTGGAATAAGAAGAAACTAGGTTAATCTTGAAGCTTCTCTCTTTTCAACCATCTGCACGCCACTATGGCTTTACTCTGAATATCCTCATGGTATTTCAAGCAATAAGAACCACTCAATTTACTTTATGTTCCTCTTCTTTCCTGGGGTGGGGTGGGCTCATTTTCATTCATTGTCTGCTTCTTACAGTTGATTAATCTTTTTCAGCTTCTTCCTCCTCCTTCTTCTCAGACTTCTATTTTTCTTCTTCTTCATCATCATCTTATTGTTATTATTATTATTATTTCTTTATTTATTTCTTTTTTCTTTGTTTCTTTCTTTTTTCTTTATTTCTTTCTTTTTTCTTTATTTCTTTCTTTTTTTCTTTGTTTCTTTTATTCACCCCTTCTTCTTTGCTTCTTTTTGTTGATTCTTCCTGTTAGTCATCGTTCTTGCTTTTTTATGCCTCTTTTATTGTTCTCATTTTTTATTTTCCTCCGCCTTCATCGTCGTCATCTATTTCTTCTATCTTTCGTCCTTTCTTATCTTCTTCTTTTTCTTCTTCTTCTTCTTCTTTTTCTTCTTCTTCTTCTTCTTCTTTCCATTTTCCTTCTCTCTTCTTTCTTTCTTTCTTTCTTTATTTATTTATTTATCTTCATTGTCTTTTCATTTATCTCCGATTCTTTCCGTTGTTTTTTTTTTCCATCGCCATCTTTTTTTATACATATTCTTTTATTCTTTGTCTACTTTTTCTTCTGCTGCCTCTTCTCTTTTTCTTATATTTCTCTCAGTTGTACTTTGTTGTTATTATTATTATTATTATTTCCGCTCTTCCTTGGTTCTTCCTCTTCTCCTTTTCCTTCTTCAAACTCTTCTATTCGTTTATAACTCTTTCTTCTTCACATACGAAAGGATGCTTCAAACTGATCGGATCGATCCACAACAAGAATCAGATCAAATGATCACACATCAGAAATGAGTTTTGAATCCTTACTTGGAGGGGACGAGAATTTTTTCTCGGCTTCCCATCCTTTATTATTATTATTATTATTATTACATTTCCTAATTTCAACTTCTTATCAAGTTGGTCTCTTTGAAGAGAGTCCATTTCCTTCGGACATTGATCATTGAAACTAAAATTGCATTCGGTAAACCACATTATATATATATATATATATATATATATATATATATATATATATATATATATATATATATATACTACAGTTCAAAAGTTAGAGAGAACCACTAGTAATTTTTAAATTGGCACCAAAAAGTAGTTTTGTATTTTAAATAAAAAAGGATTATACATTATACACGGTTAAAATAATGTGAGACATGATCTTTTATTAAAAATATTATGACAAAAAAAGGATTTTATGATTACATTTTGCTCTCCTCAAAATATCTTTCTTTAACCTTGATTATTGCAGCACAATTTCTTTGCAAAAGTTTCACAAAGTATAAATTTGATAATTCATTCCTTTCATTTTCAATGACTAAGAGCTCTTTTTTAGTTTTTGGATGAAAATTTTTCACTCTTCTGACAAGTCCATCCCTTGCTAATTCTGAGGGTGGCTTCAAACTTTTGAACTGTAGTGTATATCATTCTTATTAGTATACAAATATATTTTTATTGGGCATGCTTGTTGTTGTTTCTATCCATATTGTGTACACTTTTAAATAATGCCGTTCTGGGTTAGACATTTTCATGACGGTCGTCCTCAAGTATTGAATCCAGAGGTTGGCAGTGAATATTTCGGAGACAGTAGGAAAGCGTAGTGAAGTTTCGCAGT